TAGTATGATGTTGGCTGTTGGTTTTTCATAGATAGCCTTAATCAGGTTGAGATAAAGACCTTCTATTCCAATTTTCTGTAGAGTTTTTACCAAGAATGGGTGTTGGATTTTGTCAAATGCCTTTTCTGCATCTATTGAGATGATCCTATGGTTTTTGTCCTTGACTCTGTTAATATAATGTATTACATTTATTGATTTATGTATGTTGAACTATCCTTGCATCCCTGGGATAAATCCGATTTGGTCAGGGTGTCAGGGTCTTCTTGATGAGTTTGCCAGTATCTTGTTGAGGATTTTTGCATCCATGTTCATTAAGGAGATTGGCCTGTAGTTCTCTTTTTGGGTTTGGTCTTCCCCTGGTTTTGGAATCAAAGTAACACTTGGTTCCAGGAATGAATTTGGAAGAATTGTTTCCCTTTCAATTTCATTGATGCATTTAAAGAGTAATGGTGATAGATCTTCTTTAAATGTCTTGAAGAATTCAGCAGTGAAGCCATCATGATTTGGGCTTTTCTTTGTTGATAAATTTTTAATCATGCTTTTAATTTCATTCATTGTAATTGGGGTGCTTAGAATTTTTATATCTTCTTCATTTAACTTTGCCAATTTGTATGTATGTAGGAATCTGTCCATTTCTTCTGTGTTTTCCATTTTATTAGAGTACAGTTTCTCAAAGTAAGTATTGATGAGTCTCTGGATTCTGTTGGGTCTGTTGTGACTTCACCATTTTCATTCTTAATTGCTTGGATTTGAACCTTTTCTTTCCTTTTTTAAATAAGGTTGGCTAAAGGTGTATCCATTTTATTTATTTTTTTTAAAAATCAACTCTTTGATTCATTGATTTTTTTGTATCATTCTCTCAGTCTCCACTGAATTGATTTCTGCTCTGATCTTATAATTTCCTCTCTTGTACGAGCTTTGAGTTTGTTAGACTCTTGTTTTTCTAGGAGCTTGAGGTTCAGCATTAGGTTTATTTGAGGTCTCTGTTTTCCTAATATGGGCATTCACTGCTATGAATTTTCCTCATGAAACTGCTTTTTTTGTGTCCCATAGATTCCTGTATGTTGTACTGGCATTATCATTTACTTGTAGAAACTGTCTAATTTCTCCTTTAATTTCCTCTGTGACCCATTGGTTGTTCAGGAGAGTATTCAATTTCCATTTGTTTGTGGGAGTTTTGCAGTTTCTTATGCTATTGATCTCCAATTTTGTTGCACTATGGTCTGATAATATACAGGGGATAACTTAATTCTTTTATATTTACTTAAACATGTCCTATGAGCGAGCATGTGGTCTATGTTGGAGAATGACCTGTGTGCAGCCAAAAAAAAAATGTATATTCTGATTTTGTGGGGTGGAACACTCTGCAAACATGTGTTAAGTCCATTTGTTCAAAAGCTTGCTTTAGGTCTAGAATTTCATTGTTGATTTTTTCATCTAGATGATCTGTCTATTTGTGATAGTGTGGTATTGAGGTCCCCCACTACAATTGTATTAATGCTTGTTTGGTTTTTCATATCCATTAATATTTGTTTTGTATAGTTGGGGGCATTCATATTTGGTGCATATATATTTAGGATTGTCATCTCTTCCTCTTGGATTGTTCTCTTCACAAGGATGTAGTGACCATCTTTGTCTTTCTTAATTAGTTTTGGGTTGGAATCTACATTGTCTGCAAATAAGATTGCTACCCTTGCTTTTTTCTGGGTTCCTGTTGCATGGAGCACTGTTTTCCATCCTTTTATTTTCAGTCTATGAATTACCTCTTGAGTTAGGTGTGTTTCTTGTATATAGCATATTGTTGGATTTTGCTTCTTAATCCATTCTGCCAATCAATTCCTTTTCATTGGTGAATTGAAGCCATTAACATTGATGGTTATAATTTGTAGATATTAACTCATTCTTGTCATGATGTTTTACTTTTGTTGACTCTTTTATTTATTTTTTTTAATTTTTCCCCCTTTCCCTTTAGTTTCTTGTCTTTCCTGGTAGGTTCACTCTGTTGAGCCTCATGGAGTTGTGACCTTCATTGTCTTTTTCTAGTATATTGTTTAGAATTTTTTGGAGTGCTGGTTTGGTGTTCATGAAATTTCTCAGGTGTTCTTTGTCATGGAAGTATCTAATTGCCCCATCGATTTTGAAAGATAATTTTGCAGGATACAACAGTCTAGGTTGGAAGTTATTTTCTTTTAGGGCTTGAAATACTTCACTCCAGGCTCTGCTTGACTTGAGGGTTTGTGTTGAAAAGTCTGGTGTGATTCTGATGGACTTTCCTTTGTAGGTGATTTGTTTCTCTAACTGCCTGTAGGATTTTGTTCTTCTATTGGGTTTCTGGGATCTTGACTATTATATGTCTAGTTATAGATTTTTTTTTTATTGTGGCTAGTTGGAGTTCTATGTGCCTCACTTATCTGTATGTCCCATTCTCCACCTCTGTCTGGGAAGTTTTCTACTATTACTTCTGACAACAGTTTTTTTTATGTCATTTGGACTTTCTCCTGTGTTTTTGTGGACTCCTATCAGTCTTATGTTATTCTTCTTTGAATCATCTAGCAGCTGCTGGATTGATTTCTTGTGGTCCCTTACTACTTTTAAGAAATCTCTGTTTTCATGGTCATTAACCACAATCCTGTCTTCTATACCTGATATTCTATCTTCAGATTCCTTTAATCTGCTGTGGATACTTTCAATGGAGTTTCTAATCTCCTGAATATCTGTTTGAATCTTTTTCATGGATTCCATTTCTTTCCTATATTGTGCAATCATGGTTTCCATTTCTTTCTTATGCTGGTCATTCATAGCTTCCAGCATGGTTCTGAGCTCATCTATTTTTTTTTAATCTGTTTCTGTTCTAGAGCCTCTAATCTTGTCTTTCACTCTGGTCACCATCTCTGTAGTACTCTGGGAAATTATTTCTGTTGTGAATTTTTCTAGAGCCTCATTCATCGGTTTTGTTACTTCTTGTGCTATCAGTTCACAGTGTCCTGGTTGTTGATTATCAAACTTTTCCACCTTGTTTCCCCCAGAGATTGCCTTTGGTGAGGTGGAAGTCTGGGTTTGTGCCTTGCTCAAATGTCTTCTCATTTTTGTTTTTGGTACTGTCCTTGGTTTAATTCCTCAGGTGATACTTTGAAATTGCTTATTGTAAGTGTTTTTGTTGTTTGTATTTAGAACCCTTATGGAATGATTGCTTCTCAAGGTGTCTTCCAGATATAGCTGGTTTTTAGGTTTTGAGTCTCTCATGACACTGCGGTTATCTCATTTTCTTTATACCAGGAAGGACAACTGATTAGATCAATCACAGCACCTTAGCCCAAGTGATACAATCAGCAACACCATAGCATTAAGCACAGCTTAGAGAATGACAATTTGTGGTAGTTATTAATGTATCACCTTTAACTGTGTGAATTAAATCAAAATCGAAGACCAGCCCAACATATGTTTATAGTGAATAGACTCTTCAATATAGCAACTTTACCCTTCAGGATGGTAAGAAGGAGTTGGGTAAGGAGGGATAGATAGGTAGAAGTATAGGGAAAGGTTAGCAGTGAGTCCAGAGGACACAGGAAGATCACCCAAACTCTAAGAAACTGCTAAAGACAAGAGGAAAAGACAGAATGAAAGAACAAAGATAAGAACAGAACAACCTAACAGAAATAGGGAGGCTAGAAACTGTATTTGCTTTCCTTTAAAGGTAATGACAATCAAGAGAAGGAAAAAGAAAAGAAAAATAAAGAAGAAATCTGAATTAATGCCATAACAGGAATAAAAAGGTCGATGAAGAACAGTGTGTGTGCATGGGGGTGTGGGGGGGCGGGGAACAGGATGAAAAAAGAAAAATTTGAAAAGAGTAGAAAAAAATTAAAAATAAGAGCAAAAAAGTAATTTTGAAAATAAAAAAAAAATGAAGGGCCTCCTTCAGGGTATGTTTCTGCTGTTGCAATAGACAACGTGGGCAGTAATGTGCAGATATAAGTCAATGAGTCTTAGCAAGCCAGTAGCAGACCCATGAGATTCAGGCTGATTTCTGGATGCAAGTCCCAAGTTGAGCTCCCTATATTCCTGCAGAGTTGAATCGTGCAAGATGCCATCTGCCCTTCCCCTGAAGATAGTCCAGGTTCCAATGGGAGGTGATGATCCCTCCAACTTACCAAGTACGGTGGTTTGGTGTGCCTTTATTGCAGAGATTCTCTTCACTTTTCCAGTGCACTTCAATTTTCATCAAGGAGCCTGAGAGAGGCCCTCTTTTTGTTGTTCACTTTTGCTCTGTCTTCTGGAGCTCAGGACAATGGCCTTTATGACCCCAATGCCTCTGTAGTATGAAACCAGGTACCAGGACAGCCAGGAGGCCAGAGCCAGGGGTGGGAGTAGGGTGGGGGGCGTGCTGCAGGTGCCTGCACAGCTAAGCATGTCACTGGGGTGCGGGGCTTGGGCCTGAGGGAGCCCTGGTACTCGCCGCTGAGGTCCCCACCAGAGCATTTTGATTCCTGTTTTGGGTTTTATGATTTGTCATTCATGAGGACTTATCTAAGATTCCATGAATGGTTTGGTGTATATTTTTTCTGGGAAACACAGAACTACTGAAAAATTGTGTGAGTGAATATATATGAGGAAAGGATAAATTAGTGAGGGAATAAAAGAACTAGAAGATAAGGGAGCTGTTAATTTTGTCTTCCCAGTCCTCTCCCCACTTGCCCTCCGAAAGTGAATCCTCTATGTTCCACAACTATCAGTTTGTGTTCTTGCATTCCCTTGTCTTAGGTTACAGCTGTGAACCCTACAACAACCCTGCTGACTTTTTCCTGGATGTGATTAATGGAGACTCCTCTGCTGTAGCATTAAACAGAGAGGAAGAAGATGCTAAAGGTATGTGAGTGTTAGATTCACAAATTTTTGCCAAATTGATTTGGTACAAGTTTAGCAAAGGGGTGGCTTCTTGAATTCACCTTAGCACAGTGATCTGATATCAATTAGCAGATAGACTATGATCCGTGAGAGCTGTGGGCATTTTTGATGTATTTATATGGGAAGATATTTATGATACCATCAATTGTAAGGGGAGTTTCTATTAAAAAATGAATATAGTCATTGTAGTTTTATTTATAAAGAAGAACTTTGAGGCCCAGGGATTTAGCTCAGTGGTTCTGGCACCTGCTCGCAAGCGCAAGGTCTCGAGTTCAATCCCTGCTACCAAAAAAAAAAAAGAACTTTGTACTTTATGTATTTGCCCAGAGTAGAAAGCAAGGACCAGATTTTCACATTGAGGCATGTGTTTATATAGGAAGAAGTCTGTTTTAATAATTAGGGTTCAAAAAGTGAAAGGTTAGTAGGTTTGCTCTTTTCCTAAGATTCTGGTGGTAGACAGGTATGCTTTTCTAATGTGTAAACCAGTGAAATATCTAGTAATTTGTTTATATGCAAGCTTTAGAATCAACATATTGCCTGGCATGGTGTCGTATGCCTGTGATCCCAGCACTTGGATGGCTGAGACAGGAGCATTGCTGCGAGTTTGAGGGCAGCCTGGGCTTCATAGCAAGATCCTGTCTCAAACTACCCCCACCTCAAATCAACATAATATCTGACAGTGAGGTTACAGCAAAATGAGTTAAATCAGTTATCTGTTAATAATGTTTTTCTTCTTTATCCACTTTTATTCCAAAGCCAATGGAACTGAAGAGCCTTCTAAAGGAGATAAGTCAATCATAGAAAAATTAGGTGAATTCTATGCCAATTCCTCCTTGCACAGAGATATGAAAGCTGAATTAGATCAACTGTCAAGTGGTCAGAAGAAGAAGAGAAACTTAGTCTTCAAGGAGACCACCTATGTCACCTCCTTCTGTCATCAGCTGAGATGGATTGCCAAGCGTTCATTCAAAAACCTACTGGGCAATCCCCAGGCCTCCATAGCTCAGGTAACCTGGCAGGTCTTAATTGTGCTAAGAAATGCTCGTGTGGGCACAGTTAGGTTCTAAAGGGTCATATCAGATTATATCTATTATTTTAAGATTATGTTAATCTTCCATCTACCCTTCCATTTATTTGTCATCCTCACTTCATTTGGAATATAGAAGCTGTCAGTAGAACAAATTTTTATTTTTTTACTAATGAAAAACTTTTGTTAGTGGTTTTTTAGATTACCTAACTCAGAAGTTTTGATAATTTAGACAGATGCTAATGGATAATTTTAGTAGAAATTTTGTTTTTTTAAAAATGCAAAGGCAGTGTCAACTACATATCAAGTATCCACATAGCTGTCCACATTCATTCACTGGTTTATCCCACAAGTTCAATACAAAAATCCTGTGTTGCATTTTGGAACAGTAATATGGTAATGAACAAAATGGGCAAAAATGAAAATCTGGTCTAACAGAGATTATTTTCTTATGTGGGCAGGGAGATGATAATTGACTAAAGGAAATATATAACACATCAGATGGCAGAAGGGACTATTTCAAAAGTTTAAGTAGAGAAGTGGAGGAGGGAGTGAGAAAGCAATCAGGAAGAGAGGGTTGGATTGCAGTTGACATCTGATGAGGGAACTGCATCCAGCCTAGGGTAGTTTGGGCTATCCCCTGTCTGAGGGAAGAGCTTTATATGTCAAATGCTGTGAGTATGAGAAGATAAAATATTTTTAGCTCTAATGAAAAACTATTGACTTCTTAACACCATAGTTTTTATATTTTCTGTGTTGTTCAGCTTTCCCTTTGCTGGTACAGATACCCAAAACCAGCAACTTAAAGGAGAAAGGTTTATTTGGCTCATTGTTTCAGAGATTTCAGTCTAAGGTTGCCTGGCTCCAAGGCAGGGACATCATGACAGAAGGGCAAGCTGGAGAAAGCTGCTCACTTCATGATGGCTGAGAAGCAGAGCAGAGGGGAACAGTGCCAAAGAGGAAGGAGCCAGGAACTGGGTATTAACCCCAATCTCATGTCCCTGCCACTTACCCACCCATGTACACTCAGAAGTGTGCTTTCCTCATTCCCTCAGTGGCTCTCAAGCCAGTCAAATTGAGAATATCCAGTTTGAAGGCCATACCGTCCAACTGTGTCTGAGCGCCTACATCCCTATTTGGGTCACTTTGTCGATTGTCTTCTACACATTTTTTGTTCTTGTGATTTGTCATTTCTCTCAGAACATGGACAGTTTTTTGTCCTGTAAATCAAGGAAATAATTTTATTTTTTGAGAATAGATTTATGACATTTGGAAAAAAGTCATATTAGTTAGATCCATCAACCTGGGTTACCCATTGTTAAACAGTGAGATGATGTAACGAGTTGATTCTTTCATGTGATTTTTGCATTAGTTTTTTTTTTTTAATTTGCTCTAAAAGTGGTGTATAAGTTCTTATTCAAGACACATACATGGTAGTTCTGGGGAGAGCGTGATTAGAATATTGCTTCTTGGATTATTCCAGGATTGTGCTTCTTTGGGTGCTATGCTTCTTTGCAATACAGACAACAGGCCTCCAGGGTGCATGTTCAGCCTCCTTGCCTCACCAGGAAACTCAGTTCCACAGAAGGAATCCAATGCTCAGAGAAGCAGCAGTCTTTGGAATAAGGGTGGAACCTTGTATCACCCTGAGTGCAGCGGGGCAACTCTTATTGAGGTTTGCAAGTACTGGAATGTATAGTATAGGACTAGGCAAACCACTTTTCAAAAAGGGCCACTTGGTAAATTTGTTAGGGTTTGCAGGCATATAGGGTCTTCATCTTAGGTATCAACCCTGCCATTTTAGCATGACAGCAACCGTAACAAATACCTAAGCAAATGAACAAGACTCTGCGACAGAACTTTATTTATGAACACTGAAGTTTCAGTTTCATATTGTAAAAACCATTATTCTTGATCTTTTTATCTCCCATCTATTAAAAAATGGCTAAAACTATTCTTAGCTTATAGGCTTAACAAAAACAGGCACCTGGCCCTGTTTGGCTGTGGGCCATAGTTTCCTGACCGATGGCATAGGGTTATTAATCTTACATTTTTATTTCTCTTAGTTTTTGAAGATGAAATTTTTTAAATGTTTTGTAGCTTGCTAGTGATAAATCTGTTTACTTATAGCTGTACTTTGATTTAAAGTTGGTATTTCAGATTCAGACTTGGCCTCTAAGGAGAGATCATATTTGGGAGATTTGGGGATGAATAAATTAATTGCATAGAATATTCAGTGTTCATTTAATGTGGCAAGGGTTTCCTTATTAAATTTATTTGGAAGATTTTATCATTAATCTCTTGGAGAACCATTGTTTCTATTGACATATTAACCACGTAACTATGGATTCATGATGACAGCCACAAACATCCCTCAGAACACACTTTGAGAAATGTTGGTTAAATGTATTTGAACATATACAGAATAGCATATTTAGAGAATTTTTTTTTAATCCTTCTGTTTAAAACAGAGGCTGGAGGTCAGATGCCCAAACTTGTAGATAGTGTCATTTGCCTGACCATGCAGTGTTCAGTTTGCCTAGTGGTTTCCTTTTTTTCATACAAGGTCACTGTGATTATGAGATTCACTGTTTTCTCAAAATGTTTGAAAATAGATTGGAATTATTTTAGAACTTTCAAGACTTTGGGAAACACTCTAATGACAGTACTAACAGTGTTAATATAAGATCAAAATTGAGTGCAAATAAACAGAGTGGGGAGTGTCTAGTTTGAAAGACAAATATTCTGAGTTGAACTTATGTGAAAGTACAGACGTTTTTATGTGTGCATGCTGCACTTTGATAGTTATCAGTGTTTGTTTGGGAAGCTTGATCTGTTAAAATGAAGCAGAGTATATCCTGAGGAAAATGGAAATATCCCATTTTTTTCCTACTAAATTTCTGTCATGTTAGCAAAGGGACTTTTAAGGACATCTTCTAAGTGAAACATAAATATTTGTTCTAGACTACAGTCTTCACAAACTAGTCTTTACAGATCATAATTCTATTTTTCTGTTTTGGCATTTTCATGCCAAAATATCTTTCACAAATTTGTTAATGTTTCGGTACTATTTTAGTGTTGAGATTTTTGTTTTTAATTGAAATTTCTTATATATTTGGTAGGATATTTCAGTTTTTTTTAAAGGATACCATTTGTTATATTTTTATAATTACTATATTAGTAATAAGAATTTCTCAAATGAATTATAACATAATATAGCCCTTAATCTCCTTTGTGATTCGAAGCCTTTAGAGACTTTTAATCTTAAAAACAGAAGATATGATTGTCCATTCTCCCTGGGAGCCCTCCACACAGATTGAGGAGGTAAAGGCAGGTGAGGATGCAAAGCACTGGCATCTCAGGTGGCTGTGTGGACTGCAGGCCTCACTGGCCAAGGTTGATGCAGAAGCAGTGACAGAGGAGAGGGGTAAAGGAAGCACTTGGGTGAGTCAGAGAAAACTGGCTGGACGCTTTAGTGATGGTGACAATGCATTTTCCCATTAAGGCAGGATTCCCCAGAGGTTGGCTAGATGGGGCCCAGTTCACTCCTACTTCCTTACCATGCAAAATTCCATTGTTAGAAATTGTGTCTTTAAACTTTTATTTATTTTTAATATTAAGTGTAAAGACATCCTGTTTTCACTTGAACCTTTTGAAGTCAAAAACTGTGTATGTTCCTCAAAACAGAGGCAAAAAGTTCAGTTCAAATTCAGCTCTTAGCCACATGGACTTCTCCAGGTGTCTACATTGCTCTGCTCCCTGTGTGACATTTATGGGTCCAGCACCTCAGTTGGGCCCTGAATCAGCAGTGCCTGGTGGTCCCTGGGAGGAACCTTAGCTTTTTCAGTGTCTGCTCTGCTGTCCTTGCAGGTTCCCAAACAACAGTTTACTTTTCAATATAATTTAGGAAGCAATCTAATAATTACCCCATTGTATATTCTTCCAGGGAGTCTGGCTGAGCTTCTGTTTTTGTAGTACTTGTGATTGAGTCTAGCGTGTTGCACATACTAAAGAAGCACTGTACTACATCCCCAGCACTGGCCAGTCCATTCGCAGTGTCTATCTCAATTGAGAAAACTAATTATGTGGCTGTATATCACATTAAATGGTATGTAAAAATGTTTACATCTAATTGGAGCTTTTAATTTCATTTTTCTTTTTTGAACAGATCATTGTCACAGTTGTACTGGCACTGGTTATAGGTGCCATTTACTTCAGGCTAGAAAATGACAGTACTGGAATCCAGAATAGGTGAGTAAATTTTGAGAGAATGCTGTTACTTTCTTCAAGCTTATGGAGAGATTCATTAAGAACTTGAATGAAAGACAAGTACAGGTAGATGTTATTGTTTGGTTGAGGGGTAGGATGAGTCAGTGAATAAAAAACTGGGTAGAGCCATGCCCTACCTAGGTACTGAGTCACACAGAACACACCGAATCAGCCCGCTGCAGACAGGCAGGTCTGTGGACACCCTACCGAGGTCCTGAGTTGCGCAGAAGACACAGAATCACCCCTCTGCAGACAAGCAGGTCTGCCCACACCCTACCGAGGTCCCCAGTTGCGGGGAACACACGCTCAATCAGCCCGCTGCAGACAGGCAAGTCTGTGGACGCCCTACCGAGGTCCTGAGTTGCGCGGATGACACCGAATCACCCCGCTGCAGACAGGCAGCCACCTGATTCCATACTACAAAGACCCAGAGGACACCAGACCAAGGTACTGAGTCCCACTGTTCCCGGCCCAGAGGGAGGGGCTTCTGAGCAACTTTTTCACTGCTCCTGGTGCAGAGGAAGGGGTTTCCCAG